TCCATCTCAAACCATTCAGTGTGACTTTATAGCCGATTATTTTCCAAAGTGTATTCTTTATGGATTTGTCGTTCGTCCGCATCTTGCAGTTCCTTACACTCCTTGACGTTTAGCTACCAGCACCCAATCTTCATCAGCAATATTGACTTGGAATACATCAACTACTTCTTTCGTGTCTTGGGGTAAGTCGATCGGATTTCGACTCAATGCATCAAAGTATCTCATTTTACTACATGGTCGGTACTCCACTACAAAAAAGATTTCCTATGCAATCAACCACCATCTTTCTATCCTAGGTATTTCATCACGTTTCGTCATTGCCGTTCTCAATGCACAACACTCAGTAACGACTTTGAATTTCAAACCCAGCAAATAGACTCGGAAGCGTTGAAAGGAATTCATAACGGCTACAAGTTTGTCGACTGAAATACAAAACAGGATGCATCTTGTCGTCTGCTCGTTGTCTTTGCATGAGGATACCTCCAAGTCCAACTGTTGAAGCGTCAGTGTGATTTGGTCACTAATGACGAGTGAACAAGTCACTGATGACGAGTGAATAAATCACTGATGACATGTGCTGTATCCACTACCGGTATTCAATCTGGAATTCAATGGACCAGGTTAATATTAGTAGGTGTGCATTTCCAGGAACACAAATATTCTTGTGGGGATCAACTTGTTTACTTGTCCCACCATCAAATATTCACCTAGAGTCAGTAATTTTTTGTCTCCATGTGGTGTACAGCCAAGGAATGTCAATGATGTCCAGACATAGAGGTCCATTGGATCTTCATTGTACATCATTGTGTTATCTGGGTTACGAACAACTCTCAGAAGCCTTCGAGAGACTTGTGCCAGCAAAGAATGACGGGGGCCTTACCTTTTGAAAATGTCTGCAGTCGTTTGGATTCGAACCCACAACCGGCAAGCCATCGCGATTAAATTAAAAAACTGAACGCGAAGACTGGGAGCTTCTACCACGTGACTACCTGGCCTAATACCTGGTCATAATATCCACAGCAGTGTGTCAACTGTGAGGAGACGACTCGCAGGGAGGAATTTATGGTTCAGTATTTCAGCAACAGGACCGCGGTTAAATGCAGACCACATTCGAGCAAGACTTCAATTTGCCAGGGAACATAATATATGAACTGAACTGTTGTAGATTGGAAACGAGTTTTGTTCACTGAAGAGACGAGGTTTCATCTCTACAGCAACGACCAAAGCGCAAGGGTTATTCGACGAAAGAACGAACGTTATTCATAATTTGATATTCGCCAAACCGGGATATTTAATGGAATCTCTGTGATGTTTAGGAACGGAATTTCTTTGACAGCTCATACAGTACAGGTTGTCTCTTTTCATGGATCACCTCCAAATATAGCGAATAATGCATTGAAAGAATGTTGTTAGAGCATGTGGCCCTATGGCTGGTTAAGATAACTTTATACTAATACAAATAATGCCAAACCACAACCTGTGAGAATAATGCAAAATTATTTATATATCATGTGAATATTGATGAGACTTTTGATTGGCCTCCACGTTGTCCAGACCTAAACCGTATAGAACATTTATGGAATTGAATTGGTAGACAGCTCACAGATTATCAACCACAAACAGGCTCTTTGAATGATGTAGAAAACATCACCAGGAGAATATGGACCAAATATTTATCAAGCACAAATAGACGTCTGATTCAGAGTATGGGTCTTTGGTGTCAATCGGTTATAACCGCCAATTTTGTTTTCTTGTTCCGATTGTTTCTAATAAGCTGTAATTGTTCCGTTCAACATCAAATACCATATTCCATTTGCTTAGTGTGAAGGGAACGTGAGTTAAATATAAAATTCTGAGAAAATTGGGGCAATGCCTTGATTTCGGACAGCCACGTAATATAGTGTTGATGAAACTGTTTTTTTTTTCAAACACTCTTTATATGTATGCCTCGAAGTTGAATTGGATTTTGTTTTTCAAAATGTCGTTTCTGAAAATCTAAACTACAATGAAAAGAAATCATACAAATAATCGAATGAGCATTTCGCACAAGCATATATCAACTCTGAAATTGACCCAAATTTTAGTGGTGCGATAATTTTGTTGCGAAGAGTATCATGAACACTAGCTCATTTTTTACATGCTCAGTATCAGTAGCAGACACAAAATATGGGTAGAAATAAATATTTCGCTTGAAGTAAACTGGTAGAGGCTGAAGAGAGCAAACAATTCTCAATTCACATGAGGACTCGCCGAGGCTAGGAAACTAGCCAACCCAATGAACATACTCACGTGTAATATACGTTTATATACAGGGTGTCTGCTAGAAGGAGGTCAATCCATTAAGCATATATTCCTTGAACAAAAACAATATGAGTTCATGAATACAATTGCTCATTTTAGCTCTTCATATTCGATATCAAAGTTGAAAATTGAAAACAGTTTTTTTCTAATTGCTCGCGTATTTAATAAGATATTAATCTCAAAATCGGTACATCACTTCAGCACAAAGATTTACATCGTGTCGTGTGGAGAAAACAAATTAGAAAATAACTGTCAAATATTCAAAAAACTGGGGGTCAAGTACACACTTACCCCCATATTTTTTTGTACGTGCGCTAATGACTTTCTATCTATTTTTCTTCAAGTGTTCAATCATTTTTGAGTATTTTTTGTCAGTTGTAAAATTTTGATAAAATTATTTGTTTTTAAGATAATTCGAAAAGTACTGGTTATTGTTTGATGCCTATGCTGCTTATGGTAATCCCATAATGTTCACATACTCCCATTCATTTCGTCGAAATTGGAAGAGGGCGTAACTTCTTACGTACGAAAGGGTAAATATCGAGATACCGGGTGCTCAGAGCGAATGTATTTATTTAATTTTTCCAAAAAATATTTATAGAAATCCAACACGTCTAGATGATTTGCTCGATATGACCTCCAATTTTTTGAATACACATGCGAGCCCTTTTAATTAAAGAAAATCTAAGCCTTTGAAAAATATGTGACTTATACACAAAATCTTCCATACATACCCAGACAATCCTGATCTGCTATTTCTTTCATCAAGTAGCTATCAAAATCATGGATATCATAATTTCACCAAAAATTTCCGAAAATAAATTTTTTTTATTCTTTTCGATTTCATTTCCTGTTCGTTCGCACTCGACATACCATACGGATGGGGCTCGAAAATATTTTAAAAAAATTTCGCACCTCCCAAAACCACTCAATCCGATTTCAAAAGAATCTTGAAAAATTTGCTGTACTCGAAAAAAATCCATTTAATGAATATTTAAAAGAATGAACTCTTCAATCGACCCCCCCAAACTCAATAAATCATTATTTACCCGAAATTCCAAACAACGTTTTTTTCATTTGACCGCGTAAAAAAATTTCACGTCGTACGATTGGCAAAAAAAAATTATCTGACATGTGTACTCAAATTTTTTTTTGTAAAAATTATTTTTACACATTCGTTCTGAGCATTCGGTATTTCCATATTCACCTTTTCGTACGTAAAAAGTTACGCCCTCTTCCAATTTCGACGAAATAAATAGGAGTATGTGAACATTATGAGATTACCGTAAGCAGCATAAGCATCAAACAATAACCAGTACTTTTCGAATTATCTTAAAAACAAATAATTTTATCGACATTTTACAAGAAACAAAAAATACCCAAAAGTTCTGATTGAACACTTGAAGAAAAATAGATAGGAAGTCTCATTAAATACGCGAGTAATTAGAAAAAAAAACTGTTTCTAATTTCCAACTTTGACACCCTGTATATCGAATATGAAGGGCTAAAATGAAAAATGGTATCCAGAAACTCATATTGTTTTTGTTCAAGGAATATATGATTGATGGATTGACCTCTTTTTAGCGGACAACCTGTATAGTAGTGGTCCAGTTATTCTTCCAGCCATTCTTCATGATATACACAATTTTCATCTCCCTATAATATAACTAAAACTATAACGGACTGATATCTGAGAATTATTATGATTTGTTAACATATGCTCCTGTCATTGGGGCATTGGTTTTTAGGATGTATAACAAATTGACATTCATCATACAGGACGTGGAAAGAAATTCTGGACTTCAGGTTACAGATGAGGATATGATATTATTATTATTATTATTATTATTATTATTATTATATCCGAAATGAATTCATATAACCTGTTTGTGAGAGATATAATTCCCATATCACTGATACGAATGATTTTTTTGGAAGTTCCAAGCTTATCAAGATCAGAGTTCGTAAAAGTATACTTCTCCTATACATTTCAATTTTCATTTCAATACTGAACATATCGGTAAGTTATATTTTCATATCATAATACATCATATCATCCTATTGGATTTGGGAGATGATGTCAATTCTCGATTTCAGAGGAATTTTATTTTTTATGCTCTCTTTTTGGATATTCTACAGATATGATTCAATGTTCGACGTGGCAAATAGCCAGGAAAGTAGTTGTTTTTTGTTGAATATTCAGAATTATATTATATGCATATCTTCATATGTAGGAGAATGCTAATTCTCTACTTCAGAAGATTCTGTTTTGAAATTCTCATCGTGTGTGTTCAATAGATGTAATTCAATATTCGTCGTGGCATATAGCCAGGAAACTAGTTGTTTTTTGTTGAATAAACCGAGAAAGAATTAATATTCTCATCATATGGAGAATGCGAATTCTCAATGTATTTCTTTATATAGATATCCATTTTTTTGTGTTCATAAATATATCTGAGAATGTTCCTTGTCAATACTTTCACCCAATCAAGGGGTTCAAACTTGAACGATGGAGACTCGTTATTTTTATAGACCTCAATCGCAAATTCGTGATTAGGTTTTTCTTAATTCAGAATTTCTTTCCACGTCCTGTATGATGAATGTCAATTTATCATACATAAAAAAAAACACCTATTAAGCTTGAATCACCCTGTACTTCGAATACGACGTTCGGAATGAATATTTCGTTTCGTTTGCAGGATGCCGGCGGGAAGGGGACGGCGAAGACCATCGGAATCAGGAAACGGGCCGCGGGGAGTACACGAAAGCGGTCCAATTTCCTGCAGCCCGCCTCAGGGAGAGCACGGAAATGCTGGAAGGCGGCGGAAGGTACGCAGTATACGGAACATTGTTATCTGATTCACGTTGTTTGTGCGGCAATATCGTAAATTTCGGAGATACCGTAGATCGAGGAGGAGCGTTTCAATCCTCTCTGAGGTAAACGTCCCAATATTCGACACCTTAGGAGGTTTTACTACTTTTCCTACGACTACTACTGTAAGTGATGGATATTGTACACAGAACAATGGCAGTAAGCTTCTCCTTACACACGTGTGCGTAAAGAGAACGATCGCACGGTTTTCATAGGTATGTTGATAGATGACTTTGTTTTGTTGCTTAGACGATGTGTCAATAACAATTAACCATTTTTTTAATGTCACTGGCTAGTTGGGTAGGTACTTATCTTTTTTTCAATCAATCCAGCTATCCACCGAAACCGAAAGCATCAGGAAAGTTATATTTTTTGAAAATATGATTATTTTCTATTGAGACTCCTCAATTTCAGTTGAAAAAATATGATGTCAAGCGATGACGATGAGCAGATTATTTCTACACCACCAGAAATGTTGGAAAAAACTAGAATGGTAAAAAATGAGTTGCTACCCGCTAAGTCTCGTAAATGATACTAAATAACACATCAAAAATTCCTGGACTGGAGAATTAGAAATAATACCTACTGTGTCATTTTCGGAAAATATCTTCTTAGTATATTTTCAAGAATTACCAAATTTCATGAAATCATCATCACTCTGGTCGATATATTCCATGTTACGATCAACACTAAATATCAATCACAATATTAATATAGCAACATATCCCATTTCCAAGGATGGATTCCGAAGTAAAAAATAAAAAATACTTAATGCTGAACAGATCAATTACTTTCTGCAGAATGCTCCTGTAATTTTTCAAATAACATACATACTCAACATTGAATTGATGAATTCCTTTTTCTTTAAATAACAGGAATAATTAAAAAAGATCCATTTTCGGAATTATATTCATAAAATATCTACTTGTACGTAGAAATGGTGATAGCTCAGTTGTTGTAAGCGCTGGCTCCGACACCAAAGGTCGGTGGTTCTTTTTTTATTATTTTTAACGATTACAGAATCTCTCGTGCTGCACTGTTACAAATAAATAACCATTATGAATGTTAATTTTATATTTTTATACAATGTGTTTTTGGCTACCTATTAATAAAGCTGTTCAGATATGAAAAACGGCTCCATTTCAGTTCGAATTGAGGAAAATGTCTCGGTATGCAATGTATGAATAAACAAACACAAGAATTGTAATTTGTAACTTTTCATGCAGCTGGCTTAGTGACGGAAGACGTTTTATATTGGTATTCGTTATTTGTGCCTTAATACAATATCTGCACTATCCCGAAGAAAATATAGTGTAGTCGTAGAAAAAGTATATTACAATTCTCGAGTTGTATAGCAATTATACGCACTTGTGGAGTTACACACTCGCCGCTATGCGGCATCGTGTGTAACTCTCTCCACATCGTGCGTAATATGCGTTTTACAACTCTTATGTAATATACTATTATATGGGAATATAAATTCAAATTTTGTAGTCAGTGCTTCAGAAAGTTGACTGTGGATTATTAAAATATTGATTATTAATATACAATGAGATGGTTAGAAAGCACAAAATCATTTCCACAACGTTTAATAATCAGAAGAATATTTAGGGGAATATGTTTCGAACAGCCTTAATCCATACGAACCAAAGGTCCTATAATATGATACAAGTTAATGATGAAAAATATATTATGTAATAGAGAAGATACGCACGTGGGAATGAAAAAAAAAAAGGAAAAACTTCGAATAAAATTATTGTGCAAATGAGGTTCAGGGTCAGGTTAATTGTAAAGGGGGACTTGTGCCCCTATGACGTACATAATCAAGATTCAATAGTGAAACCCATTATTGGAAACAAACGAAAAAAAACGATGGAGTCAAATAATTACTCATAACAAAACCTACATCATCAGATGATAGACGACAAGTGGCGTTCTCAGAAATCCACAAAACGCAAAACGCAAGTTCTGTGATGACAAGACACATATGACAGTGACGATGTCAACTTGCCTAAAATACACAAAGACAACATCCCCATCAGACCTGTTGTCTCGTACTACTGCAATTCTTCTTCATCCAAGGTTGCCTCATAGTTAAATTCTTTGATTGAAGACCTTACAGATTTTCATAACCCTTCCTCCATCAAAAATACTGTTGACCTCACTAATAAAATCGAAAATTGTAATATTCGTGCCAATGCTATCTCATTGTCTTTTGATGTTGTGAATCTCTTCCCCAGTGTCTCCCCAGACATAGACTACCCTCAGAGGATTGTATCAGATCAGTTCGCAGCATACTACTTGAATCAGGTTTCCCCACTCACCACTTTGCTGCGTAAAATTATGCTCTCTGTTAGATATAGTTTTAATACAGAAATTTTTCCAATTTGATCAGTCCTTTTATGCACAAGTTCAAAGTTATAGCCATTTGAAATATAATTTTCTCATATATATCGTGGTGTGGAATTCTGAGTTTCATATAATTTGTTCGACATGTCTCACGCAATTAGGATCAAACAGGGTGGGATTATTGAAACCCATTAATATTTTCCCCTTATAAAAAATTGTAATTTTTTTTCTGAACTACCCCCAACCCACCTTACCCCCAGAATTATAGATAATAGGTAACAATTCTAGCCATGTCACAACTTTTTACCTTCATTTATTTAGTACCAACATCAAATATCGACACACGTGAGTACCTACCTGAGTGATACTGACACTAGATAAAATTGTTTTTGAGTAAGTACCTTGCAATTTGCATGAATCATTATTGATAATCAATAAACTAATTACACGGAATAATAATCTCAGTGGTGTAGCTGTATAACATGAAAAAATTAACTAAACAGTCGAATAGGCATGAGTGTGTACGGCACGCGTTCTTTTTTTTTTTCGTTATTTTCCCAAGAATCTCGTGACTTTTTATTCTAATGCTTTTTATTTTTTTATTAGTTAATATATTCTCCATGTTATATATATCATCTTTATTCGAGGCTGTTTTACATTTTTATTTTGCAACTGTTTCTTTGTCAGCCTTCATCTCCTTCCGCTTTTCTTTGTTCTCAACTTTTTTAAGTAGTTTAATATTCTCTCAACTGTGCTAAAAGATTGGAATATCAAGGTATACCGAAATGTAATATTCTCTCAACTGTGCTTTTAGCGTCGTTTATATCATGTTCCTAATGAAGAATAATTTACCAGCTGGAGTGAATGAGTTGAAAAGGAATATTCTCAGATGAATTATGAACATACAAAAATGGATATATATTTATATAAAGCAATACATTGAGAATTCGCATTCTCTATGTGATGAGAATATTTACTCTTTTTCAGTTAATTCAATAGAAAACAACTACTTTCCTGGCTATATGCCACGACGAACATTGAATTATATCTATTGAACACACACGATAAGAGTTTGAAAATAAAATATAAAAATTTCTAATCGCAGATTCGTGATAGAGTCTCAATTCAGAATTCATTTCCACGCCCTATATGATGAATGTCAATTTATCATACACCCAAAAGCAATGGAGTGAATGAATTTATATAAAATCTTCATAATTTGCTAGATACTGTATGAATCATAATCATAGTTACGAAGATGTTATATACTCTATATGTAAGAATGTGATGTGAAATTAATCACTGTTACAAGAAATATTGCTGTAAATTCAAGAGAAATAAGATCATGTAGGTTTTTTATTTACAATTCACAGTACATTGACGTCAATTTGAGGGAATCGAGTTACGGAACATCCGTTATATGAAACGGACGTCATATGTATCTAACTATTATGATTGTGTTTACTAAGAATGTACTTCTCATCACGTTGAAATCAACACTTCCTCGAGAGTTTGTTCGGAAGTTATTCAATTTTTAAGTCTGTCATTTAAACGACATGGGAGGTGGGAAAGCTCGGCTTTAGTATAGTAAGTTAGGCTTTAGTATAGTAAGTTATATCGAGGACCTTATATATGTAATAATCTCCTGATGGTTTCCCACAAGAGCAGACATTCATTTATTCTAGAGATTTATCGAAAATATCGACAGGTACTATACGTTCTCAAACCGATGGACACTACAAACTTGTTATCACTGGAAACGAAGTGAAATATGCTGAAACAAAGAACATAATGTCTAATAATAACAGCTTATGATAATACTGATGATGAATGAGTAAAATGTGATTGATTCAAGATTGTATTTCTCATGATTCCACTAGAACACAACATATTGATTGATTCAAATTTCAGAAATGGTGCTATCGAAACAAAAGGGAAAATGAGTTCGGGTCAGATGAATATATGCACATTCCCATTATGATGAGATTCCCTCCTCATGCACTACATACTTTCATGTTTCATTGCTTTCACATCGCTTTTCCAATTTCGAATTCATGTTTCAATATCTCTGTTATTTGAACTGATGTTAACGCGACGCTGATTCCAATATGGAAACAAAACCCTTTATAATGCAGTATGATACGCAGGATTGTCGAATTATTGTTTCTCCATACCCACCAGAGGAACAAATCATCTGTTTATGAGAGGTGATATTGTCGCAACTTACCATATTCACCCGTCTGGAAATTCACGAGAGTGGTTTAATTTGGTTGCACCAACCAGTTAGGAATAAAGAGATACAGGAATGATATATGGCATTCATTCGACTTAACATAACATGGAGGGAAGAATGCAGTACATGCATTATGCCAGTATCTCTTCTATCGAATTCAAAACGTGAATCTTTGAATGAGTTGAAGTTGAGAAATCCATTTTAAAATGTCGCCAACTTCTTGAAAACTTCTTGAAAATTTCAAGATCGTGTCTTGAAAGGCTTGAGGTCAAAACAAAATAAAGACGAACATTTCACACCAAACATTTTCGATTTCAATTTAAAGCCTGTATTTCGTATCGTTGCCATAGCAACTAAACAAATTTCTTGGAAATTCATTCTTCCTCCTTGGGGGACAAAGCATGAATACTGAAGATTTTTTGACGTTTAT